CTGACCATATTAGCTTAGCTGGTGCTTCCAGCGCTGCGCTGCATCTCCCTTTTCCTCCCCATCTTGTTACATACCTGTCACGGTCCCAATCGTGCCATTTTAGATTTGGTCGCATCGGAGGCGTCCAGGGGTGGCCCCATACTCGAACAGACATAGAACTGCTTTCAGCTACCTAGTTTAAAAAAGCTCGCTCTGACTCAGCATTGTTGCTCCCTTTGAGAAACAGACAGCCTTTAGGAAAGAAAAGTACCATGTAAAATACCAACTCACCCTTCCCCTTTCTAATGCGGCAGCCTTTAGGAAGGATAGCTAGTGTTGGCCACTTTTGAGATGCAAAGACACTTCCTCTCACGCCTCTGTCGAATAGAACCCGTTGATTCTCATCTGATCCAACCCAGGTCACAGGGATGATAAGGCTGAGGAGAGCTGATTCTGTGGCTTTTAATGCACCTGATCGGAGTCGGACAAGCATCCCCGTCCATTCCACTGGCGCTGAGACCAATCTCAGGATCTCTGGAATCTCTTGACTGTCAGCTTCATGTGGTCGCAGGAAATTACCCATACGTACTATTTCACCCTTCATAGCTTCTTGAAATGCCCCAAAAACATTCGGTGGAAAGTCCAGCTCATCTGCGCTGAACTGAGACCTGTCTCGTTCATCAAGGCTGACCTGTAACCCTCCCCGGTACAATGTGTCGAGAGCAAGCAGCCCTCCAGGCCAGTCATTGAGATCCAGTCGCTTCGTATCCTCGACTATCCTACTCAGCTTAATATAGGCGGATATCCCCGGGAAATAAGCTTCATAGGCAGGTTGTAGAAAGTCCATTTCGACACTCCAATCTATCAGGTCGTCAAAGTCGTCATTGTCGCCTTGGCCGGAATCACTCTGTTCCGTGGGTATTGACTGCGAAAGACCAAGCATTGCAGTTGCCTCGGCCATAGATGCGTCACCCCTGAAATCTCCACCTAGAGCAAGGCCAAGTTTGGGCCTTTGAGTAGCAGGTATCAGGGCTGGTGCTGTGGTCCCAGCTAGAGCGGTACCATGCGGTGGAAGCTGGTACCTGTGATCAAGACCCCTCGCTTCGGGCAAATCAGTAAGCGTAGAATCACCGTAGACCTGAGTCTCGCTGTCAGAGGGGGCAAAAGGGTTGTTGATTTTGTCAAGAGTGACAGAAGTTCCATCTTCGCCAATACTCGTTAGATCTTCTGCAACGCCCTGCGCTGATAATGTGCCAGATGCTGAATATTGTGACCGTGACTGCTCGAGGTCGCCTTCAGGAACTTCCAGAGGCTGGTAACGGGGTGTGTCCTGGCCGCAAGGAGTTGATATCGGAGCTTGTGGATTGGGAGCAGCTCTTCTCGCAGGGACGGTCAACGCAGCTGATTCTATTGAAGTCGTGACTCGTAGTTCTGGAGAGAAAGACTAGTACCTAGGGCTTCATTGACAAGATGAAGTCTACGTAATTAATCTCTGATGATCTGAGTCATAGGCCAAACTGAATACTCACGGAAAGCCCCAATATGTCGCGAGGAATGGAAGAGACAGGGTGAAGCGCCTCTCTGTCACAAAAACATCTTTGAAAGGGCTGATGATCCCGACCAGATAGTTCCCCAACGTCGATGACTCTTTCGAATCGTAGATGCCTCGATAAGCACTCATCGAGAGGCCAGCTAATATGATTAGCCATGAGAGCCTTAGACGCCTGGATGCACCTACCAAAGAGTAGACTCTCCCAGGCAAGATGGGACAGGTCCTTCTCGATACCCTCCATGGTACGCGCCAGCCAGGCCGCTGTGTTACGAAACCGCTTCAGGTAATCGGCTGACTGTTGGCCGCAAAGGTACACCCTGAAGTGGTTGTCCACGACCGAAGCATCGAGCCCTGCGTTCAAAGAGCAGATGCATAGACAACCACACAGGATAGCTCCATACGAATGCAATCTTTGCGCCAAGCCTTCGCCAGCATGGAACGACGACCCGAGGCTGCAAAACGAGGCTAAGATGTCAGCAGGGTGGCTTACTCTCGAGCTATGCTGAGAAGAATCTTGGTTGATCACAAATGGGACGCGGCGCGTAAGGGTGTGAACAATGCGGAGAAGCTCTTGCGGGTCTGAGATGTTCAGCTCGGCCCTCAGAGTTTGCCATTTGTGCCTAGTCTCTGATATTCGGGACAACAGAGGCTTCAACGCGTCGGGAAACGCTTTCGGGATCTCTAGTTGGAAGGTGTACTCTTGGTGTTGTTGTTGATGTTGTTGTTGCGCGACACTGCTCTGTTTCGTTCGAATGCGGTGCTCTTGTTGGATTTCACGAACACGTGGGAGTATGACCGGGGTTTTCTTGAGGGCTTGCAGTTGTCGCGTTAGAGTTTCGACTTGATCGAGAAGCACTGTAATGTCATTTTGCAAGCCATTGCCGGAGGGATTCCGCTTCCGCTTGGGAGCAGGCATCGTCATGTCATGGCAACGAAGAAGATGCACTTGGTCACCATCTACGGGAGACCTACCGCAAGCTCTTTTCCATTTCGAGAAAAGTGGGGGTTGGGAGGGCTCGAGTCCGCAGCAGATAGCGTGCGGGCATGATTGCGGGGATGGCGCCCTATGTTTTTGCTTGACGATTTCTGTTGCTACAACTTGCACTCACGTCACACCGGAGGTGTTCAACCTATCGACGCAGCCTTCCCACAAGAAGCATTTATGAATAGTTCTTTACCCATTCCAATCGTCCTACTGCTGTGGCCGCTCACTTCCTTCTTCTGAAGCAGATACGCGACATGTGTACGTGCATAACCCATGGCCATCTGGCATTCTGTGCGCATCCGACGCGGATGCTTTCCAGTGCCTCCTATGTGCTCATTCAGGGCCTCGTCATTTAAAACGCAAGCCCAGTAGGTGTTGTGTCTATGCCCACTACAAACTGATAAAACTGACGGCAACTTGAAATCAATAGTGCCGAGTTGTGGGAGTTGGTACAATGCGTGGACAAAAGTCTCCGCCCGATCCCCAATTTTACCCCTTCCATCTACTATACCCTCCAACTCAATTGAACCATAACGCATCCAATTCTGGTGATAGAATTCTCAAATAAATTTTATTTAATAACTAAGTCAATAGTGTGTATACCAACCACCGGCGCGCCTCACTGCAGCTATTCGGTCCTCCAGTGACTCCATCAAGGCCCGAACCTGCTCCGGATCGATCTCTGACCACGCCTGCTCAATTAACTCGTGTGCGTAGCGATAATGGGGGATATTATCCTTCAATTCAGAAAATTCAGGCTTAATTTTACGTATGTTCTTCTTCAAAAGTCGCCAAATATGCTCAATTGGGTTCATATCGGGGCTGTAAGGAGGCCAGTCGATATAGTGGATGCCGTGCTCCTCCATCCACTCCGGAACACCGCCAGTAAGGTGAATTTTCGCGTTATCTTGAACAAAAGGATCTCTAGCCTCATAGAATGGAAACAGGCCTTCCTCAAGAACCCATTTGTATGACTCTGTGGATACTCCTCCGCGCAGAGCATCTGGATTGAGTGGGCAGAAGACCAACTTGCCTAGTCCTCCTTCTCCGCCGCGTAGCCAGATCATAGACCACACCATTATCGAAATACGAGATTTGCTGTGATCCGTCTCGTTCACAAGATCATAACGGTACCGCTCTGAAGAGAATTGGATGGCCCAATCGCCTGGATTATCGGATGAGTTTTGGACCATACATTCGTCTGAAAACATAGCTCGCAACAACTCCTTTAGGCGCTCTGGTGTGCTATAATAATTGGCAAAAGCGAGCCTCTTCTGAGCGTTCTTATCTGTGAGCTTGATTCGCTTTGTTGTGCGCCACTTCTGGAGGCTATGTGCGTGACATATCCTCTTGATAGTCTTGGGAGAGCACGAAATGCAGGCTTCGTTTCGAATCTTCTGCCACGTCGCCCTATGGAGCTCTCTCGCCTTTTTGATCACATGAGCGCGTTTACGAGTATTCAAACGGGTGGGCGACCGCTCCTTGGGGCAGATTTTGGTGTAGAAGTGGCCTCAAAGTTGGTGATAATATCAGAGATAGTTTTCAGGCGCTTCGTTTTAAATGCGGTTATAACATCCCTATGTGTTCTGCCGTCGATTCGCGCCGCCACAATTGCCGAGCGAGCTTCTGAAGTGAATTCGCTGTTAGCGACGCGATTACCGCTTAATTTGTCCCCAAAAGATCGTAAATCCATTATCAATTGCGGTGTTGAGAGAGTGGTGAAGTCGAAGGGTGATTGACGCGTTGTTTTGATCTGAAGGAGATTGTGGTGGGTCGGGCGGAGACTTTTGTCCACCCAGTTTAACTGCATACCTAGTCTAGCCGTCGATAAAGACGGCCAGATGCAGTATGGTCCAGTTTCTGTTACCGGGTAGCCGGTCGTAGAACATACGCCACCCCGCTTCCTTGGCAGCCATAGGTGGACCTTCGCGGTTGCAATGCATACCTTCATACTGACATGGCCCAGGGGAGACCCAGGGGAAGCCAGGGTTTACTTTTCCGATTGTTTCGTGCAATCGGAGCCTGTATCCTCGAAGCAAATGCGACATTATATTTGCTCCGCTACTGCACTACTGGGTCGACCATCCCTGGGCTCCTTACGTAGATCCCGACTTGACATGTCAGTGACCAACGTTGCCTGCTCCGGGCTCCACCTTCATTTGTTTAGAGACCCCTGCTTCTATATCGACGCCTCCCACTCAACCAACTTCAAAGCCAGCATTAGCATTAGCAAGTAACTCATCCAGAAGCAATTGGGCATATAAGCCTACTGAGCGAACCGACACATGGTCAATCTGCACTTTCTTATAATGCTACCTCGTCATTTCCCTTCAAGTCACTCCTTCCCTGCTGGCCTGTCTCAGCAGCCTCGACCGCGCAGCCCGCTCTGCAATACATAACGGTACCTGATTAAGCACTGGTGTCGCGCTTGCAAACCCTCTACCCATTACTGGATTTAGCCCTGCGGTCCAGGTGGAGTTCACGATGCAGACCCAGCTTCCAGTGAAACTGGTAGTATTGGGAGATGGTGGTGTTGGGAAAACTGCACTGACCATCCGACTTTGTCTGCGAGATTTCGTCGAGACAGTACGTCGCCAGTCCTTCCCCATCCTGGCTTAAAGGAGCTTACCTGGGTGCCGGGTAGTATGAGCCTACAATTAAAGACTCATATCGGTATTCAACTATAATTGACGACGAGAGATACATACTAGAAGTGCTAGACACAGCTGGTGACGAGGCCTACGCCAGATTACGGGATCAATGGGTCAGAAACGGCCAAGGTTTTCTGTTGGTATACAGCATCTCCTCGCGACCTTCTTTCGCAACTATCGGAAACCTCTTCCAACAAGTCCTGCGGGGAAAGGAGTGCAACCCACAGTACGCAGCTGCTTCGCCCCCGAAGAACTTACCTATTGTGATTGTGGGCAACAAGAGCGACAGGCTGGCCGAACGACAAGTTTCAATCACAGAAGGGAGCGATCTTGCTGAGAAACTGGGCTGCGGCTTTATTGAAATCTCCACAAAGATCGGGTCTAACGTTGAGAAGGCTTTTCACGATGCAGCCCGGGTGGTACAACAGGATCAGGCTGAGCAGAAGGGGGAGGCTAGTGACTCAGCACTGGTGATCAAGGGTCTTGATCGCCAGCATGACGACTGTTCTTGCATCATCTTGTAAGGTAGCCTCTTGGTGTACCGCCCGCCCACAGCCTGCTGCCTAGGAAGACATCTGGAGATGGGCAGTGCAAGGACTGCGGATGCTGCATGTTGATGGACACTGGCTTCATCTTCCGGGTGATGAAATTCGTGTATTTCATTGGTCTGGTCGGCACGGTCGGCCCTGAATGGCCTACTTTATTTAAGCGCCCGACTTGTGTGAGTATGGGTGGCACCTGTAGCCTTGTGTAATTGTCTCTAGTCTATATCTGTGATGCGGCGCCGTCTTGGTTTTGAAGTTCTTCCCATCGTTCTCTCAACATGGCCGGCATTCAGATCTTACACCCCGTTCGCTGGGCGCCCTCCCGAAAGTGGGGAGGCTGCAAGCTTCTGCGGAGTAGCCTGCGCGTTCTCTTGTTCCCGTCGTATATCTTTCCGCCATGGCTGGTGTCGCCGAGACTGTTCGATCTAACAAGTCACATGTCTATCCGAACGTATCCAGACATCATGCCTTTCGTGGGAGCCCATACCCACGCTTCACTCCAACTGCAGAAACCACAGGCCATGGCATCCCTACCTTGCCCCTACCATGCTGCTTGCCGTCTATATCCTCGTCTCGATATGGACGACCCCCGCACTGGTATGGCTTCCACCCTGGTGACACTTACCAACGCGTTGACTGGGTCATCCCGGGCTGGATATGACAGGCCATGCATCCTGTCACCATCCGGGAAAGCGTTGAACTAGTCTGGAAGTGTCGAGGCAAACATCAGCGATCGACTTCCTTCTGTTTATGACTTCTAGTCTATCAGCACTGCCTGAGAGAGTACACTCAATCTCTTCCACCCCTGAGCATCCCTAGTACCTGCCCGGTGGTTCTTCATTCTCGGACCACCTTACAAGCTCGCCATCCCACGAACAGAAGGTGTGTTGATGTATTTCTACCTACTTTTATGAGACTGACTTAAGTACTCTTCCAGATTCTGTGTTTGAGAGACTCTATGCCCATGCGATCGGCCAATTCTTAATCTTTGAGTCCGATCACGACCACAAGCTCTTGACAATTGTACTTTTGTTCTGACGTTCTACCTTGCGTACGAATCCGGCCTCGTTGGTTGTTCGATAAAGTGATGATATTTTAGGCGCAGGTGAGTCTTATCCTCGAAGCCACGCCTTCGTGTCAGCGCACAAGCAAGTATGAAAGTCTGCGGTTATGCTAGTATCTAGCACATGATACTTTTTTGGCATGGTGTTTCAATGTTCCCATATTACGGGGTGGTTGGTTACTGACCTGTGCTAGTATCCCGATAGCCGCAACATAATAATAATATCCCAAGCATGGAGCCTGGGCAGCCCGAGAACAAACGTCTACGTCTCTCGACTGGAACGTCATGGTCATCGAATCGGGGTGTGTCCCTGTCACACCCTGCCGTCGCACATCATCCGTCTGTCTCGGTGCCTCACCACGCCACGCTGCCGCCGAGTCAACATCCACCTGCCTTCTCGCGCCCGCCCGAACCTCCCCTATCGTCGGCTCACCACCAGCACCCTCAGGACGATCGCCCCACCATCATGACCACGAGCCCTATCCGCCGAGCCAGGACCATACGCGAATACCTTTACTATAACGCATTTAACTTAATTTAATTAATCTGATTTTTTTCCTCCAAAGATTTATATTTATTATATAGGTTTGCGCATTATGACCAGTATTGCTGTAAACGCCACGTGTCGCTTACGCCCTGCCGCCCTTTTTAAACGATAAGTACTTTTACTTATTTCTTATCTTACTAGCTTAGTATGATTTTTAAAAGCTTAAAGTGTTGGATTTATGCGATTTCACATTCAAACCATCCATACTGAACACACATGTATGATTAGACTAGATTAGATACCGGATTAAGAGGTCACTTAGCCAGAACTGCGAGTCCAGCTAGACCTTCCAATCCAACTATCAGCAACATCATAACCTTGACCTAATACTCGAGTATCATTATTGATCGTTAAAGCGTGTTCCAATATAAAGACTTATTGCATTTCTAACGGAAAGTACTTTTCTTTTTATTAAATGTTTATTTTTTGTTCTTTTATAGTTTATTTAATAAGTAATCAGCCTTTAAAAACGAACTTAATGCATTAATAATTAATATAAGTAAACTTCTTTAATAGTTCTTAATTTGAGTTTTGATATAAACTAACTAGGATGTTACTTTAATAATAATACTAGGTGTCTCTAGAATCAAAGTGGTAAGTAATATATTAAGGTCTAGCAATGGTATTTATTTAATAATAATAGCATCTAGCTTCAAAATAACACTTTTTAAGTTAAAAGGGATAAGGCTAGTTGCATTAACACCTGCTCGAACGTGTTTTACTGTTATAAAAGCGTTATATGCTTTATAAAACGCGGCAAAAAAGTCTTTTTCAAAAACGGAGTTTATATAACGCCGGATAAGATCTTTGATTAAGCGACTATAAGCACGTTTAAGAGGGTTAAAATAACTTATATTCAAAGGTTAGAGCTTACATAACAAGTAAGTAGGCATATAAAAAGTAATAATGCCGTTATTTTAATAAAGTTTTTTCAAGATTTAAAAATAATAGCTTTTATAATTATTAAAAATAAAGAGGCCTTTACTAGCGGTTTTACGTGGTTTAATATACTTATTAAAATGTCAAATCATTTTCAACCGATCTTATTTATAGTCTATCTATTATTAAATACGGCTACCTTTTAATCGCGTGATAATATCGTAACACGATATTATAACGCAAAGTAGGTTTTACCTTATAAATAATAAACGGCGGGACTACTTAACTATTAGTATTAATAATAAACATTGCTATAAACTATTATTTATTACCTTTTTAAGCTTATTTAAACTTATTACGTATTTTAGCGTTTATAACGACTATATCAAACCTAATAATATTTATTACAAACCTGATTTTATTAAAGTTATAAATATCTGCGTTTTAAATACTATATTTTGGAACTGTCGCCTTAACTTGGCTAAACCACGAGCAATAAGCGTATGAATCTTCGTTTAAAACCTTTTAATAGTTTATTTTTACTAAAAACGCATTTAAAAGCTTAATTTGGATTGAATAAAGTTCCACCTCGGGTTCTTTCTCGTGCGTCTAGCTTTACGCGCTGCTAATAATTAATTCGTTATATTCTTACCAAGACTGTGCCAGGGTAGAGAAGCTTACGCATTTAAGTCGAAAATAAAGAAAAAAATTGGATTAAAAAAACCGTGACTTTTAAGTATTAAGCATGTTATCGCGTCGTAAGAGCATTTCTTTAATTTTATTACTTAAAGTAAAACAAAGGATGTTAAAGAGTTTTATAAGCTAAAATGTTAAAATATAAAGGTTACGTCGTTTAGCTTAAACAGCTAGTTGTAAGTTTAACTCGTTATAACGCGGGGCTATTATTATTAATAAAGACATAATACTTTAAATCATATTAGTTAAAAAGCTTATAACGAGTGTTAACTCGCTTGTATTACCAACTCGCTTATCAGCTACGTTAAACGCAAGTAATATATATATAATTATAATCTTTTAATTCCTTTACAATTAATCAAATATTTATAAAAATATTTTACTTAGATTTTTGAGCTTTACTAATAATACTTATAAATAATATAACGCTTAATACATTTTTTATATAGCTTGAAAAAAGGAAATAATTCATAAAGCTATACTTTTTAATTATAAAGAAACTATATATCAGTCAATCCTAGCTTAGATTAACATATATTTTATAATTGATATAAAACTTTTTATATAATTATTATTTGTTATTGATATAATTTTAAAAATAAACGAATTAGTATTTATATAATAGTATTTTATATATATATATAACGTAATAAATCTAACAAGTATACCGGCTATTTCATACGGCGGTTTTTTCTTATTTAATAAATTTCTTTAATAGAATACTAGTTATAATCAACCTCAAAGATTTTTTCAACACGGTGAATTCTTATACCAGGTAAGTAAACGAATTACGGATTTTAAGGATAATGATTACATATATTAAAGGAAAATAAAACGACGTTATTAACGCCTTATTACGTATTATTTTCAAAACTTTTATTTCTATTAATAACTTATTTCAATACGGTTTAATTAATAACCGTTACTAATATATATATATAAATATAAAAGAGGATACATAAAGCTTTTTAAAGATATAATTACTAAGGGGAAAAAAGCTTTAATCAACTTTTTATTAAGTAAAACGATAAATGTACTTTTTTTCTTATAACGTAGCTGACAAGCCAGTTGGCATTACAAGCGAGTTGGCACTCGTCATGAACACTCTAACTGCTATGTGAAATAACTTCACCACAACGCATTCAATTCACTTCAATCAATCGGATTCCACTTCTTCAGAGGTTTCTATCTCTATTGTACAAGTTCGCGCATTATAGCCAGTGTTGCCGCCAACGCCACACTGTCGCTCATGCGCTGCTGTCCTTCTTGAACCATGACTACCTTCACCAATTTCCTGTCTTGCTAGCTCAGTATCATCCTTTATAGCCTAAAGACCTATTGTATCTTTAACAGAAAATATTCCTTCTTTTATCAGACGTTTATTTTTTGTTCTCAGGCATTTATTTAGTAAGTGATTGGCCTGCTCTAGCTTGCGGACCCAGGAATCAACCAAAACAACCTTGTGCATAAGACCATATGTAGCCTTTGAGAACGAGCTCAATGCATCAATTATTTATGTGGGTTAGCTTGCAAGGTGGTTTTTGACTCAATTTCGGATATAAACCGATTGGTTTACCGCTTTATTAATAGTGGTAGGCGTCTTTAAAGTCTAAGTAGTAGGTGGCAGATTGAGGTCTGGTAACGGTGTTTGTACGACAGTGACAGTATCCAGCTTTAAAATGACACTTTCTAGGTCAAAAGCAACAAGGCCAGTGGCACTGAAACCTGTTTGGATGTTTCCTGGTGTCATTGCAGCATTGTGTGCTTCACAAAACACTGTGAGGAAGTCCTCCA